TCTCTCTCATATTGATTTTGAGAAAAAAACAAAATAAAAGTGAAGACCACTTCCTCTTTTGATCCCTGGGTGCACAATGTATCGTCAACATCTCCTTCTTCAAATTATCCATCACCATCTTTTTCATATTATCCATCACTACCAATGTTTTAAAAATCGGACTAAAGATCAAACCGGTGAAACTTATTGTTTAAGGTTCAATTGGTTAAACCGGTTAAACCTACGGTCGAATCGTTTATTAAATAAATTAATAATATGAAACTAAATTTCATCGATATGTCATACATAATCATATGTTCACAACATAGTAAAATAAATATTTCAAAAATCCATTACAAATTTACTACAACAATATCGGTAATATATCATAACATAGTTCTACACTTCATTTCAAGTATCATTTAAGAATATTTTGACCAAACTAAAGAATTACAATAAAATAAATTAAACTAACTCAAACCAAAATTAAAATAATAGAATATGATAACTAAAATAAATTTCAAATAATTAAGAACACCTAAATTAAATAAGATAGAATACCAAAATATAAATAATACAATATACTTCATTAAATTACAAAAAATCGAATTTGAGTTGAACTACGACATAGAAGTCTTAATTGACAACAATAAATAACATTAACTTGAACGACAATCAATATTGAGTTAGACATCGTCACCATGTTTGAAAGAGATGGCATGATGATGATGGAGTGTGGTTGAAAAAAAATTATAATGGAGTAACAAATCTTAGAAGTTTGTATGTTGTAAAAAATACACGAAATTATTTTTTGTGATTGGAGAATGTATGTTAAATTTTGATATTAACATATTAAAATTAAAAAAAAAAGATAAATTTGATGCATTTTTTTTTGAACCGAGAGGTTTTACAAAACCGGCTCCGGTTCTTTGGTTGGAATGATTTTGAACGGTTCAATTCCGTTTTTCCGATTTTACTTCAGTTTTGCCCCACTAGCGGTTTTGAAAAGTTGATCAAACCAGATTATTCTTCGGTTCTCGGTCCAACTGGTTGAACCGGCCGGTTCAACCCAGTTTTTAAAACATTGATCACTACACAAATTTCATACAATCTCATGCTCCATCTCTCACTATCCAAAAAAGGTGAAAATATAAAAAAGAAGAAGTGGTACACAATGCAAAATGCAGTGAGTGAGACCTCCATCTTTATTACTCCCTTCTTCACACTACACATAACCTCCATTTTGTCAATAACAACTGAACCATAACATTCATCTCCCACTTTCATTTTCTTCTTTCCATAACCACCAAATCACACACAGTGCCTCTCGGTCACACTTCTTAAGACTAAACCTCACTCATCACACACTTACCTCTATCTCAACTACACAATAGCATTACTTTATTAATATAAAAACATCATCAACTCATATTTTCTATTTCAAAAATCAACCTCATGCTCATGTACATACCCTCTATTTTCTCTTCATGAAAGCCACACCGTTACCATTATTTTCTCACATAACACATCACTATCTTTGTTTATTCTAACTCCTCATTTTTCTCCCATATTTTCGCTCTTACTACCCAATCGATTTAGGGTTTATTCTGTCATAATACACATACATCCTAGATGGCAACAACATAAACTTCTAGCTTGTGAATTGCAATGTCAAGATCATCCTTTATCACAAAAGTTTGCTAATGTGAATACTGTGGTTTCGATGGAAAGTCCAAGGTGGGATCATGGAATAAACTTGTAAGTGCTTGTCATGTTGCGTCAGTGCATCCCTTCTAACGGAGCTTTACATCACCACCACTAACCCGCGATCATCTTCACCATAATTCTCACGAACCATTGCTAGCTCAGCAAGACGACCACGCCGCTCACAGTTTCTCCACCGACGACGCAGTTTCTGACCACCATCGAGATTGCCGCCTTTATCTTCGACGTAACACAATCCTTAAATTTGGTAGCTTCTTTATGCTATTTGTCTTTCCATTTCTATTGACGCGTTTGTTGTTATGTGTTTTTTAAAACGAGAGAACATAGTGTAAACTGATTATGTTTTATTGCTATGTTGCTATGTGTTTGTTGTTATGAGAGAATATAGTGTAAATGTTTGTGTTGCTTGATCGAGAGAAAAGAGAATCGAGGGAGAGTGTTGTGATTTTGAGTTTTTGCTTTTTTCCTCTTAAACCTATGGTCCCGTGTCACCATACCATTGATTATTTTTGAATTTTGAAAAAAAGTATGGTCATTTGAGCTAAGAACAAATGGGGCGGTGCCCCCTCTTTCTTGAAGCATATTCCCATTTTCCTTTTTTTTCTTCTTTTCTTTTATTTAGTTTATTTTTATTTCTTTTATGATGATTAGAGTTTGTTGTTAGTGGGTTGTGCCTTAAAATGTTTTGTTATTTTGCAAACCTCCATGTCTATATTTACACCCCTCTTACGTTTTTTCATTCTTTTAGTTTTATTATTTATCTTATTTTATTCCATTTCTTTTGGTTGATTTAGTTATTTAAGTTAGTAGTTAGTTAATTGATTAACTTTCTATTTGATTAGTTGATTAGGTCTTAATTAATTAATTTCTTGTCTTAATTATTAAGTGGATTATTTGATTATTTGTTTAGTCAATTTCAATGTGTCTAGTAATTTAGTTAGGTATTTTCTCTATCCATGTTCATACCACGTATGTAAATAATCACACTCAATTTCACGCACTTTCAATTTCACCGCAATTTCAATTCAAATCATTTTCCATCAACTTTCAAAAATCAATTTCCACAATCATTTTCAAACCATCATCATTTCGCAATCATTACGCAACACAAATCAAACCTCGATAAACATCAAGTGCATTTTCAAAATAAAAACAAAAACAGTTAATCATTATCAAACATATTTTCGTAAATAAAGATGAAATATGAACATGGTGTTTATCACAAGCTCCCGATGGTTAGGATATGAGGTGTATATCTTGACCATCTGAATGCTCGCCATCACTTTAAAAAACTCTCAATGTGATATATTGCAAATCATTTTCTCAATAAATTGGACGAAAAAGAAACATGATGTATATCACGAGCTCCCAAATGTTAGGATACGAGGTGTATATCTCGTCCATTTGAATGTTCGTCGTCCAACCTAAATACCTAACTATATCTAAACCTTTCACAAATAAGATGAAAAGGGAACATGGTGTATATCACGAGCTCCTGAGGGTTAGAATACAAAGTGTATATCTCGACCATCCGGACGCTCGTCATCCCTTTAAAAAACTCTCAATGTGATATATGCAAATCATTTTCTCATTAAATTGGACAAAAAAGGAACGTGGTGTATATCATGAGCTCCCAAATATTACGATACGAGGTGTATATCTCGACCATCCGAATGTTTGTCATCCAACCAAAATACCTAACTATATCTAAATCTTTCACAAATAAGATGAAAAAGGAACATGATGTATATCACAAGCTGCCGTGGGTTAGGATACGAGGTGTATATCTCGATCATCCGAGCGCATGGCATCACAAAAAATAATCCAAAACATCCAAACCATTTTGCCTTTAGGCTTTCACCTTCAAACTCTTTTTATACAAAAGATGTTTCGTCTCGAGACGATGCAAAACAATGTCTCGTCCACATATGTTTGAGTGAGCTAAGTGACATTTTTCCGCGAATGTTGTTATAGAAATCCATTATGTTGTGATGCAAATGCCCCCTCCTCTAACTGTTTTGGGTATGCAATGTTTTCCGTTCGATTGCGAAAACAACAACTTTTGCTAAAATTGACCCACAAACAAACATTTTTTTACCTAGAACTACGTAACCTTGAGTTCTCCATCACACTTGGAGATACGTAGGAGTAAGACCCGCAATCTTGTCAGGTACGTAAATAAAAAACCTTTTTGCAACCTCTTTCCTTTTCTCTTTAAATTTTTAATAACTTAAGAAAGCAAACATTCAAAAGCTAACACTTATTTGCAAAACTAACTAAACGGTTCCCGTTGAGTATAACGGATGTGAGGAGTGCTAATGCATTCTCCTTGCATAATCGACTCCCAAACCCAATTTGGTTGCGATGACCATATCTTTGTCATTTTTTAGGGGTTTTATTGATATTTTCTCTTGATGGAAAAAATGTGAGTTGTGTGGAGAAACAAGTGTGAGTTATAAGTCCCACATTTCTTAGAAAAGTGGAGGTTAAGCACTTTATAAGTAAGAGGACTCATACACCTATCACCTTAAGATTTTGGGTGAATATGTGGTGTCTCTCTCACTTATTTGGGTGAGTCTTTGATCTTTATGTGAATGTTTGACCCAATGTATATACTTCCCCCTCATGATGATCCATCATCCCTTTCTCTTTTAGGAAATAAGTAAAGTTTGGTAAAGACTCTCTTAATTACCGGCGAGGGTGCGATGCACTCACAATGCCATATTTTTTCGAAATGCGATAGTCAATTCCTTAAAAGAAATGATTTTGGTGAGTCGCACGAATAAAAACGGCCAGATATACACCGCAGAAACGTCAGAACAATAATCGACAAAATTATTTAAAAAATCGGAATCAACTCGAAAAACAAAAAGATTTTCGAATCAAGAGGGGGTGAAAAGGGAAGCTCTCATTCCCATCTATTTCCTATTGCTAATTCAACCACATAACACTTTCATAATATTTCCTATTCCTAATTCTACCACAACACTTTCATATTATTAAGATTTTTGTAAAGAAATATTTTTTTTATGGTACTAAGATTGTTATAAGATTAAAATTGCAATATTCCATATCACAGTTAAACCAAAAACAACAGTACACCAACAAGAAAAACAATAAGTCAAGAGTGGACATTCCATTTTCGCACAATTGGAGATATAAAGTTAACAACAAACACACTATACCTACTTTTCAAACCACAAAATCATTATTTTTCTTGATTATTACTACCATTGTCAAATTTAAAACATCAACTTGAATATGCCACCGAATCATTGACCAATTACAACAACTAATCACACGCTTCCAATAATAGAACTGCTATACCCAGTCTGCAAATCATAGAATCTAGACCAAAGCATCACCCCTCCATAATTTCTTGACTTCTTAATCACAGGCAAAATCTCAGTACTCAACACATCTGCCGGAATAAAACCACTTCCAGCCGCCGCCGTAGCGGCCGGCAACCCCAAAAATATCTTCCTAGCAGGAACATTCTTTGTCCATTGATTCCAAGAACTCACGAGATTAGTTATGCTACCATTATATTGACAAGGAGGGTTGTTGTAAAATTGAACCCAAACAAAGTCGAAAAGACCCGTTTGAAGGGCAGTGCCCAAAAATTTATCAGGAATTGGACATTGAGGAGCTGCACCAAGATAGACCTTTTTTCCAAATCTACAATACCCTTTAAGAAAACGTGCAAGATGTTGATAATTTTGCGTTGAACCGAGTTCGATATCGAAATCTATTCCATCTAAAACAGCATCACCTAACGGTCTTGAAGATGACTTGCCACCCAAGAAAGTGTTCCATAAAAACGTTGAGACGTTTCTGGCATCTTCAATTGACGATAAAGTGTAGCTTCCGATTCCGCCACCGATAGAAAGTAAGACTTTGATTCCTTTACTTTGGCAGTCTTTGATTTCTGAGCTGAATTTTGTGCAGGAGTTTGTTGATGGATTGCAGTGACCTGCAAGATTCATTTCGGGTGTCTGACCGTTGCCAAAGACATTGAGGAATGCTATGATGACATGAGTGTATTTTCCGGTTGCACATGTTTCAGATAAGGTTCCTTCGTTGCCGTTTTGGCCCCAATAGATAGCTATGCCACCGGCATGGGAAGATGCAGCAAGAGTGAGGAATGAGAGAAAGATAAGAGGCAAGAAAGTGTGAGAGGTTTTTGCCATGTCTGTGAAAGTGAAACTCAAGCTTTGAGTTTGGTGTTTTGTGAAGAGTTATTTCTTGTACTTAGGATATTTATAGGAAGAGAAGAAGAATGAAAATTTGAAACTATATTGTAGATTGGAATGAAGTTTGGTCTGTTCCCATTTGCAAAGGATGCTTTTTATTTTAGACATATAAAAGTCAACTTAGTCATTTCACATCTTCATTATTAATTATAAGAAAATAATCAGTCAAAAATTATAAGATAGTGAATAAGATGCTCAAAATGTGATTTTATTAAATATGAATATCGATGATTTGATATCTTTCGATTATACTTTTTATATATATATTTTTTTTGCCGTTAATATGAAGACTCTGAAAAGGTCAGAAGGCTTTAATTAATTAATAGTAGATGCCAACAACTAGCTTTTCTGACTTTTAATTTGTGGATTCTATTCTGTCATTGTCCAAACGTGAATGTTTGTGGAGTTGAAATTGTCTGTTTCAACGCAGTTTTAGTAATAGTATGTTTTTCGCATAAAATTTTATTTTGATCGGTTCCTTTGGATTAATACAATAAATTTTAATTTTTGTTTGGATGATATCACTCATGTCAACAATGAAGTGATATCCTCTTTGTTTGTCCTTCATTGCTTCTTTCATTCAATGAAGTGTTTTGGTTAAAAGAAAAACAATGGATCAAAAAATTCGCATTGCAAGAGAGTGATCCGTAATTAAAGTTGATTATTATTATATTGAACTGAAAATATTTATTGACTATGAATAGTATGGTTGCCATCTTCACTAAGAACTTTTGCATAATAATAAAATGTTGTCAATATAAAACTCTACCAAACCCACCTTCTCCACTTTCCCAACTTTCCCATGACCCTTCTTAATTTTTTAACGCACATTATATATATCAAAAATACAAAAATATTCTTAAATTTTAGAGCTACATCTTCGAATGTGTCTTAAACACAGATATTCTAAGTTAATTATGAGTCATGTTTTAGGAGTGTAGTTTTTTTAGATTTGGAGATGCATCTCCGTAACCTGTTAGTAAATGCATCTCCGTAGCATGCTGTCACAAAAACAAAAGTAGAAAATTGAAAAGTTGTATTTTGACAAAATAAAATTATCATTCATAACATAAAATCAACATTATATAGGTGACGTTAACATAAAATCAAATATTACATTTCAATATTCAACTGGACACTTCAACATCTTCACAATATCTTTGACTAATCTTGAAATCGTTGCTTCCATCTCGAACAAAACTTTTGTTTCGAAACGAGAAAATATATTTCACTGGTCGTTACATCTGTATTTGTCTTGAACTCATAGTTGTTGAACTTAATCTTTCCTTCGTTGTTAATTGATGGTGAACAATACTTAAGTTTCACAATTTTTTGATTATCTCTGTAAAGTAGGAGATTCTGTATTTCGTATTGCAGATCTGCAAAAGGGTTGTACTCATTGATCTTAAATTCTAACCCGAGTTCACACTTGAAAAGGAGACATTTGCGACATACTAGATGATGTTCATTTGCGATATTTTTTTGTTTGAATGAGATATGATACAAGAGCTTATATTTAGAGTAGTTGTAGACAAATATGGACCTACAAAAATTCTATCTTGTTTTAGTGGAGGTTTTGGAGATACATCTTCTGTACCACCCTATTGTCTTATTTCAAAGATGCATCCCCAGAACCTCTCCTGATCCAGACAGAAAACAGAACATGTGTGTTTTGTTTGGAAAATTGACAAATGACTTTGAAAAATATCAAATGTATTAAAATATTTGAAATTGTATATATTACACTTCATTAATATCAATACACAATTATATACAATTAATTGATGACAGAAAACTAAAACAAATCGAAAGATTTGTCGTCGGCTAAATCTATAAGTATGAGTGGTCCCTCCTTTGACTTTTGCATATTTGATTCTCTTTCAATGTCGCTCAATTTGGTGAACTCTTGCATCCTTTCCACAAACCGGTTCGACCAAGTCTTGACTTTTGTTGTTGAATAAGTCGTCCACTTCACTAATGTAAGTGGTATAACGCATCCCAATTTCAAATAAATTTAGACTAAGTGTCGTGATTTTGAAATCTACCCAATACACATGATACGATCATTTGGATTTTGAGGTGGGGTGGTGCGCAGTGAGAAAAATGTTTTTGAAAAACTGTATCTTGTTAGATCAATACACACTATATCATATGCACTTGCTATAAGATGACCAATTTCAAGGAATGTATTCTCAGTAGAGATAACACCAACCATCTCCAATAGTGGAAGTCTGTACTTTTTGGTTCTATGCGTTGAATCAATAATGAGCACAATATGAAATGTGTTTAACAACATAATGGAATGAGGATGAGTCGAAAATATATCTCTTAAAAGTTACTCCATGCTCGCACGTTCGGTACTTGGAAACATAACTGTTATCATCCAAAAGTTTCAATAGTTGTTGCATTCCACTTTTATCCCCACTTAACGCCTTGTTATATTAGTACCGAATATATACACTTGCTTGATATTTGAGATATTTTCGGGTCTTTTAAATTTCAAAGTTGCAAGTATGTTTATTTAGTTGAACCAAATTCAATGTCATGTTTGAAACGTGTTCCTTCTCTTCCGACATGAGGCGACACAAATTTGGATGACCAATTAACTTTTCACACAAGTCATGATTATGTGAACCATATATTACATTAAATATGCATTTCTTAGTTGTCAGCATATAACCCAATAACTTAAAGGGACACTCACATTTTCTTGAACCTGTGTCATCTCGTTTAAAATTCCGAAGAGGAAATTTATATTTCACACTTCTTTCACATGTCATTGTCACAAATGCACATCTTCTATCCGAACCATTATCGGACCTTCTAATTACCACATCAAATCCCAGTTTGGAGGCCTACGTATGAATCCAGTGAAACACGTGATCGCAAAATTCAAACTCTTGCTCACTTTTAAATTGGTTTCCAACATCTACCTCATTCACAACAAAACCTTTGACATGCGGAGACACAACATGTTTGGAGAAAACATCAGGATGCACCATATCTAATGAAAACAATTAAAATAAAAACTCAAAACTGCTAAAATCGTAAACATAGCTGGAAAAATGAGAACAAACAGGATACAAAGATGCATCTTCGTATGAATTCATACAGAATACAGAGATGCATCTCCGGATTCAACACACATTTTTTTAGATTTAAAAGAAACTTAATGTAATCAATGAGGTTTGAAATGAATGACCCTTACATGGAATTCTAGCTTCTTTTGCTCCTTTTGATGTGATGAATCACAAGAATGAATATTAGAGTGAAAATATTGATTGTGAGTCGAAGGGTTTTTGAAAAGTGTTTGGAGTGAAAAAGAAGTATGGATATATGATCACGTAGGTGACTATTTTATCAAAATTAAGTTTTCTTATTACGGAGATGCATCTCCGTAAATACCTGACATGCAAAGGTGACTGATATTTTAAATCCCGCCCCAAAACTTTGAAGATGCATCTCCAAAATATCCACTGGACTACTCAAATATCAATTTATTTGTTGAAAATATCTGAAGTTGCATCTCCGAAATAAAATTTTGTTTTACTATAGGGTGACACTCATTTAGTGCTTCATAAGACAGTGCAAGGGTGCATCCGGAGATGCATCTCCGAAATCTGAGGAAAATTTTGGGTTTTCCATAGGGTGTTTTTTTCACACCATATGGTGGAATAATAAATTCCCAAAAACAAAAGGAAAAGATGAGAAATAAATATTAACAAAATGGGTATGCTAACCTTTAAAAATAATAAAGGATCACCAAGTCCAAACTGTTGGAGTTTAATCCAAACTATGCTAATAGAAGTTGCTTATGCTAATAATAGTTAGTTAGAGGTAGTTTGTTTTACTTTTTAGTTCGTTAAGAGATAGTTACTTGCTGAGAAAGTAACAACTATCTTGTATATTAAAAACTCTTATACTTCAATGTAATTACAATCTTCCCTATCACTCTCATAATTCCTCTCAATTACTCTTTTCTTTTATTCTTTAAAACTGTTATCCCTAACAAATTGGTATCTAGAGCTTTGTTGATCCTAAGGAACTCAAGTTATTGTAAGAGACATCAATCATTATGGGTAATTGAGATTTTGCATCAGACCTGTATGTTGTTGATGGCAAGATGAAAGTGAATGTTAGTGCACAAGATGTTTGTGATATGGTGGAAAAATGTGTTTAAGCTTCACCCGAAAATGGAACTGCAACAAAAAGGAAAACTTAAAAGGTAGACAAGAAAAGAGACATCAATGTTCTATTCCCCATTCATAAAAGTGTTGATTCAAAGGTGTTTGAGAAAATGGTTGGTGAAGCTAGTTCCAAAGCAACATGAGACAAACTTGAAATATACTTTGGTGGTAATTCCAAAGTCAAAAAGTTCAAGCTACATGCCTTAAGGAGGCAACTTGAATTATTGCAAATGAAAATGATAAGAAGATAGGTTATTATATCTCAAGATTGTTGACCTTGACCTATCAAATGAAGCAATGCAGATAATCTCTCAATGAGGTGAAGATCATTGAGAAAGTTTTGAAAACATTTCCTCATTTCTTTGATCACATAGTGGTGACCATCAAAGAGAAAAAAGACTGGGATAAGATTTCCAAAGCACTCTTGAAGCCCATGAGATGAAGGTAGATGAAAGAGAAACTGAAAAATAGGATGAACAAGCACTTCTTGCCAAATTCAAGAAGTTAGGAGCAAACAAAGGAAGATGGAAGAAGAATGATCAGTGCATTTTGATGCACTTTCTTCTACTATTGTACTTAGGCAACTCTATATTTTATTTTATTATTTTTACTATTTTAGCGTGTTATTATATTTAAGTTTATTTCTGCCTTTATTTTATTTTCGTACTTTATTTTCAGCTTAAATTGTTATTTGATACATTTTCATTGTGCAGACCATAACTTAAGCTATGAAATTCAGATTGACATATT